CATGTCTTCAGAGAGCCGATTTTTTGGAGGCATTGTTCACATCAGCAAATGCTTTATATGAACAGCAATCTTAAAATGTCTGAGTATCTTTTATCAATCAAAGTAGCTGTAAACCACACCTTAAAACTAATATCATTAACCACTTGAGCTCCTGAGGATTTACCCCCTTAATGACCAGGCCTCTGTTTGCTACTCGGCGCTGCACTAATTCAACTGATAATTGCGCGCGGTCATGCAATGCTGCACCCAAACGAAATTTACGTCCTTTTTTTCACACAAATAGAGCTTTCTTTCGGTGTAATTTGATCACCTGTGCGCTTTTTATTTTTTTCACGCTATAAACAAAAAAAGGCCAAAAATTTTGAAGAAAAACAATATTTTTTACTTTCAGCTATAAAAAAAATATATAGTAAACTCAAAGCTGGTTATAAATTTAGGCCAAAATGTATTCTGCTATATGTTTTTGATAAAAAAAATCCCAATAAGTGTATATTGATTGCTTTGTGTGGAAGTTATAGCGTCTACAATCTATGGTATAAAATACTGCATTTTACGCCATTTTTCTGCTATACAGCACTGCGCTAGTTTAACGGACAATTGCGTGGTCATGCAATACGGTACATAAATGAAATTTACATCCTTTTTTTCCCCACAAATTGAGCTTTCTTTCGGTGGTATTTGATCACCTGTGCGGTTTTTATTTTTTTGCGCTATAAAAAAAAAGGCTGACAATTTTGAGGAAAAAAAAAACAATATTTTTTGCTATAAAACAAGTCCAGTAAAAAAAAAAATGCAAAAATCAAATTTAGTCATAAATTTCTGCCAAATGCATTCTGCAACACGTCTTTGCTAAAAAAAAAAACCAATACGCGTAAATTAATTGGTTTACGTGAAAGTTATAGTGTTTACAAATGGCGGGAAAGATACTGGGATTTAAAATTTTTATTTATACTAATAATGGCGCCGATCAGCGACTTATGGAGGCAATCAGCGACATATGACGGGACTGCGGCAGACATTTTGACACTGGGGGGGGAACTGACTTGGGGTCACTGACATCCCCAGTGACACCAATACAGTGATCAGTGAAAAAAACCCACTGAAACTGTACTAATGTCACTGGGGAGGAAGGGGTTAACATTTTTAGAATTTGCTGTGTAAGGGGAGTGTTTTACTAGGGGGCGGGGGTGTGTACTGGATGGGGGGAGGGAGGGGGGAGCTTGTCGGCGAACTGTCACAGAGCAGGGCTGTGTGTAAACAATGCAGCCCTGCTCTGTGTTAGTGATCACCGCTCATCGCGGGAAAAGGGCCGGTAAAAACCGGCCGTGACCCGGCGGCGGAGACCTGCTGCTGACACCCGCGGGACAGGTAGGGCGGGCGCGCGCGCGCGCGCCCCCTACCTGTTTTGAAGACAGCCATTTTAAAACGTGCTTTTGCCTACGAGCGCCGCCCTGCCACCGTTTATATGCGGTGGCTGGGCGGCAAGTGGTTAATTGGACTCCAAGCTTGTAGACCACTGACTCCAATTAGCTTCGTTGAAATAGTTAGTCTGTGAGTTTACTAACTTTTTCCTCCAGCAATGTGAATGTTTATTGGGTGTGTTCAATAAAGACACAAGAAATTAAAATTGTTTGTGTGCTATCAGCTTAAAGTGGAATTCCACTCAAAAGCTGGAGCTCTGCATATTTGCCTCCTCCCCCCTCCACTGCCGTATTTGGCACCTTTAGAGGGGGAGCGGGTATCTGGTTTTGACAGGTTCCAGCTCCCATTTCCAGCTCAGTTCACCACGGCAAAGTGAGACGGATGTTTTCCCCCCACCTTCCTCCCACAGTCTCCTGGGAACTTTCACAGGTCCCAGAAGATTACCAGATCAGGAGGCGCAGCGCAACTCGTGCAAGCGCAGTGGGCACCAGGCTGTGAAGCTGCAAGATGTCCCAGCCTGGTGCCCACAGTTGAGATGCCAGCACCATGTAGGAGAGAAGGGGAGAAGGGATGGCACGGGTGAGAACATTGCTAGACTCTGGGACAGGTGAGCGTGTGTTTATTAAAAGTCAGCAGATACAGTTTTTGTAGCTGCTGACTTTTAATAAACACGAAAACGGCTGGAACTCCGTTTTAAGCACATTTGTATTTGTATTGTTGTGACTTAGATGAGTATCAGATCACATTTTATGGCAAATTACTACAGAAAACCTAGTTTCACAAAAAATAAAAAGACACCCTGAATATGTTTTATACAGTAGCATACTGTATGTTGTTTCTGACACTATTGACCATATAATGGGTTTCATTTTCAGGGCTATGTTTCTTTCAAACCAACTTTGGATCAGCAACGTTCATGTGCAACATGTACAACTTCCTTACTGGATGGAGATTTTACTGTGACATATGATGTTAATCGAGAATCAGCAGGAAACATACAGGCAACATATATATAAAAAAATAGAAAAGTATACAAAATGCTATACTGTAGTTACAGTATATATCTGATAGCTGATTATGTATATGTATGTGCTTAACATAATCTGCATTCATAGGTAAAAGAATTTCATGTTTGTGATATATGGGATGCAGGCACAAAAGGTGAAACCCAAGCAGATATAAACCACACAGACCAATGAGTCTCTTATTCATAACTACATTTATATTTTTTTTAATGCAAGCAGTGTAAGTTTATGAATTTGAGTTGGTATTGTCCTCTTGCAGTTCCTGTACAGCGGAGCTCAGAATAAGAGAGGTCGAAAAAGTAATTTGGCTCTCTTTGCTGATAGGAGAAAAGAGCTCATTAGTGTGCTGCTTTTTTCTTCACTGTTCAGTCATAGATCGGGTGTGAATAGGAGACCCTTTACTGAACTGCAGCAGAGGCTGCGTGGTGTGGCAGAACTGGATGGACAGAGATGCAAATCCTATAGCAAGTGAACAGCTACCTTGTGTGTTTTGTGTATATATATATACAGTGGGGATCGAAAGTTTGGGCACCCCAGCTAAAAATTTGTATTAATGTGCATAAAGAAGCCAAGGAAAGATGGAAAAATCTCCAAAAGGCATCAAATTACAGATTAGACATTCTTATAATATGTCAACAAAAGTTAGATTTTATTTCCATCATTTACACTTTCAAAATAACAGAAAACAAAAGAATGGTGTCTGCAAAAGTTTGGGCACCCTGCAGAGTTAATATCTTGTACTGCCCCCTTTGGCAAGTATCACAGCTTGTAAACGCTTTTTGTAGCCAGCCAAGAGTCTTTCAATTCTTGTTTGAGGTATCTTTGCCCATTCTTCCTTACAAAAGTCTTCCAGTTCTTTGAGATTTCTGGGCTGTCTGTCACGCACTGCTCTTTTAAGGTCTATCCATAGATTTTCAATTATGTTGAGGTCAGGAGATTGTGAAGGCCATGGCAAAACCTTCAGTTTACGCCTCTTGATGTAATCCCCCGTGGATTTTGAGGTGTGTTTTAGGATCATTATCCATTTGTAGAAGCCATCCTCTCTTTAACTTCAGCTTTTTCACAGATGGCATCAAGTTACCATCCAAAATTTGCTGAAATTTTATTGAATCCATTGTTCCTTCTACTCGTGAGATGTTCCCTGTGCCACTGGCTGCAACACAACCCCAAAGCATGATTGATCCAACCCCATGCTTAACAGTTGGACAGAGGTTCTTTTCATTAAATTCTGTGGCCCTTCTTCTCCAAAGGTACCTTTGCTCATTCCGGCCAAAAAGTTCAATTTTAACCTCATCGGTCCACAGAACTTGTTTCCAAAATGCATCAGGCTTGTCTATATGTTCATTTGCAAAGTTCAAACGATGATTTTTGTGGTGAGGACGTAGAAGAGGTTTTCTTCTGATGACTCTTCCATGAAGACCATATTTGTACAAGTATCTCTTTATAGTGGAATAGTGTACCACAACTCCAGTGTCTGCCAGATCTTTCTGGAGGGATCGTGCAGTCAAACGTGGGTTTTGAATTGTTTTTCTCACAATCCTGCGAGCTGTTCTGTCTGATATTTTTCTTGGTCTTCCAGATCTTGCTTTAACTTCCACTGTTCCTGATGACTGCCATTTCTTAATTACATTCCGAACAGAGGATATTGACATCTGAAAACGCTTTGCTATCTTCTTATAGCCTTCTCCAGCTTTGTGAGCGTCAACTATTTTCAGTTTCAGTTTTCTAGACAACTGCTTAGAAGAACCCATGGTGCTGATTGTTGGGGCAAGGTTAGACGAGTCTGGGCATTTAAAACCTTTGAGATTGACATAACCTGGTCTTCCCAGACGATGATTGAGAACAATCCATGACACTGGCAGGTCTCAGCTTTGCAAAGGGGGCAGTGCATGCTATAAATTCTGCAGGGTGCCCAAACTTTTGCAGACGCCATTTTTTTGTTTTCTGTTATTTTGAAAGTGTAAATGATGGAAATAAAATCTAACTTTTGTTGACATATTATAAGAATTTCTAATCTGTAATTTGATGCCTTTTGGAGATTTTTCCATCTTTCCTTGGCTTCTTTGTGCACATTAATACAAATTTTTAGCTGGGGTGCCCAAACTTTCGATCCCCACTGTATATATATATATATATATATATATATATATATATCCGCTAGCCTACAGGGCACTTATACCCCCTTCCTGCCCAGGCCAATTTCCTGCTTTCAGCGCTGTTGCACTTTGAATGACAATTGCACGGTCAAACAACACTGTACCCATATGAAAGTTTTATCATTTTTTTGTGACAAATAGAACTTTATTTTGGTGTTATTTAATCACCTCTGGGTTTTTTTTTCTTAAACAAACCAAAAGCCACAGAAAATTTTGAAAGAAAAATGTTTTTCTTAGTTTTTCTTATACAATTTTTTGTAAATAAGTGATTTTTCTCCTTCACTGATGTGCGCTAATGAGGCTGCACTGATGGGCACTGATAAGCTGCACTGATGGACACTGATAGGTGGCACTGATGAGGAGGCACTGGTAGGTGGCACTAATGGGCATTGACAGGCATCACTGATGGGTACTGAAAGGCAGCACTGATACATGGCACTGATAGGCAGCACTGATAGGCGGCACTGACTGGCACTGTTAGGCGGCACTGACATGCACTGATAGACGGCACTGATGCGCACTGATAGGCAGCACTGACTGGCACTGATTGGCAGCACTGATTGGCATTGATAGGTAGCACTGACTGGCACTGATGGGTGACACTGAAAGGCAGCTCAGATGGGCACTGCTATGTGGCATTGATGTGCACTGGTAGGCACTGATATGTGGCACTGATGGGCACTGGCATGAGGCACTGATGAGCACTGACATAAGGCACTAATGGACACTGACAAGTGGCACTGCTGGGGCTACACTGATCATCAGGGCACACTGATCATCAGTGCCCTGATGATCAGTGTACATGTCCCCTCCGCGGAAAGCCGATTACCAGCTCTCCTCTTGAGCTGTCAGCCTGACAGCTCGAGAGGAGAGAAATGCCGATAACCAGCATTTCCCTGTTTACATGTGATCAGCTGTGATTGGACACAGCTGATCACATGACCAAGCCGACATCTTCGGCTCTTTCTGTGATCGGTGATCCGCTGTGTCCGAGGGACACAGCGCACCGCCAATCGCCGCGCTGCGCGCTCCCTGAGCCGCGCATGCGCAGTGAGAATGGGAGGACGTCATATGACATCCTCCCAGAACAAGAGAACCACCTTGCGCCCGTCATATTACTATATGGTGGGCGGGAGGTGAATATATATATATATATATATATATATATATATATATATATATAAATATATATAATTTCATCTGTATATTTAGCTGTTTGCTTGGTGTTCAGTTTTACAGTAATAAAGGCTCCCATATATCAGTCCAGTATCAAATCCAGTCGCAATTTGACGCACAAGTCTCATTATGTAAACTAAAAACTTCCGTAATTGAGGCAAGTCCTCTTCATTTAAGTCTCACACACTCCCCCTCCCTGATACTGCAGCTCACAGTGGAAGAGAGTGGAAGAGGCAATGCTATCAATCCAGAAATTGGGCAGGAATAGGTGTGGCCAGCTGCTGATTGACAAACAAAAGGAGGTTAATTCCGTTTTAACACTCCCTTGTTGGGGAGTGCTCACTTTTGCCCCCCAGGGGCAGATGCAGCTAAAGTCCACTGTTGGCTGATGTCACAGAGCCAGTCCAGGCTCTGGAGACATCCCAACTTTAGAGCCAGTTCAAATATGTGTGAATTGGATGCATTTTGAACCGCATCCAATTCACATGACATGTAAAATAACATTGGTTTCTTTTGTACCTGTTCATACAATAGTTGCGGTGCAACCGGAGTGTGTATTCAGTGAGAATTGAAAAAGAGTTCTATCAGTTTTCTGAGCAGTGCGGTCTGGCTTAGGGGAAAATTCAGGCTCATTGACTTCTATGGGAGCGCTTCTGAATCGCACATGTCATCAGTTGTGACCAGGATAAAATCCTGACCTGATCCTGATCTAAACCTGACCTGAACTGCCAAACAAGTATTTTGTCAATTAGCTGTGAAAACAGAGCTTCAATTCACATTGCACATGTGTGAATCCACACTAAAAGTCAGTATCCACCAAGATCCCTGACTGGCAGCTGGTTTAGCCCCTCAGTGCGGTGCTGAGAGCTTTAGCCACCTATTCCCGCACCCTCCACAGCCCTGAACTCCAGTGAACACTGGAGGGGCAGAGCAGAGAGCTGATGAGTATCAGCACTGAGCTCTCTGCTCACTGAAGATCAGTGGTCTTTAATCTCTCAGTTCTTGGCCTTAGAAGCGGCATGGGACAGATGCAGAATCAGACTGATGTTTCATCCACCTTAGTGAGTATGTATGTGTGTTTTTTTTACATTCCCACACTTTTATTTTAATTTTAGTTTATATAAAGGTAGCTCAAGTTAGGCTGCTTACAACAGACAGGGCTACCCTCCATTGGGTACTAACCAGATTACTAGAAAGAATATACAAATAGAACGAGCACCAAGCCAAATCATAAGAGTCCAGATTGATTCATTGATTTGCAACAACATATTCTGTGGGTCATCAGGGCAGAAAAGTAGCATAAATCATGCCAGTGCTTTAAAGAGGTGAGCCCACACCTGTAGCAGACAATATTGACTGATTCTCTGGCTCTTTTGGAGTCATATTTGTGTCCTCAGCCACTTTACATCATATCGCCCTGCTAGCATCAATGTCCTCAGCCCCCTTTACTTCACATCCCCCTGATTACATCAATGTCCTCAGCCCCCTTTACATCGCATCCCCATGATCACATCAATGTCCTCAGCCCCCTTTACATCACATCCCCCTGATCACATGAATGTCATCAGCCCCCTTTACATTACATCCCCCTGATTGGATCAGTATCCTCAGCCCCATTTACATCACATCCCCTCTTTCACATCAATGTCCTCAATCCCCTTCACAAACCACCCCCTCCCATTACAGCCCCCTTCTCACAGTCCTACCTTACACAGCAACACAGATGGTGGGTGGCACAGAAAGACTAACTTTTCATGTTAATAAGCAGGCGATTGGTTGCTAGAACTGCCCTACCTTGCAACCAATCACCAACTTATTTACTTGAAAAGTTAGGCAAATCCCACCCTCATCCTACTGTGAGGATGACTGCGCAGGTGGAGACCCAGGAGAAGACACCCAGAATGATGGTTCGGATTGTCAGGATTGTGATTCAGTTCAGACCACGGTCCACCTTTTAGTAATGTCTGCTTTACACCTTGGCTTAGTTGCATGAACTAATGATGTTTTTATCTTTTTTCTAGGTTGTCAATGGATATTTTGTTCACTTTTTCGCACCCCATAAATTAGCTGGTGTACCAAAAAAATGTAATTTATGTAATAGACAAAAGTGGATCAATGGAGGGTAGAAAGATAGAACAGGTAAGATACAGATAAACATTTACTTATTATTGTTATTCATTAATATTCTACCACTGCATGTTTTGGTTTCTTAAAGTATATCTATAGTCAAAACTTTTCTTCTGGATAAAGTAGGGAATATTTAAAAACCCTGTCAGTTTTTTTCTTTGTCTACGTCCTGAAGACCAAAATATAAGTGAAAGAAATACCCTTACAGACAGTTGACTCCAGAATATGTATGCTAAACAAAAGATTTAGGGTCCATGCACACTGGCTTAAAAAAACGCCAGTGCTCTTAGCAGTAGTCAAATGCAAATTTTGAGTGTTTTTTGTACTAGCATTTAGGAGCGTTTCACTTTTTTTCTGCTAGAAAGTTTGAAAAAAAAAACAAGTTTTTCTTGGCTTCTGTTATAAAATTTTGCAAATAAGTATTTGTCGATATAATAGAACATCTGGGTAGCAGTGACCATAACATTATTTCATTTATTGTTTGCTGTAAACAACAAGCACATACGGGTAAAATAAAAACACTCAACTTTAAGAGAGCTAATTTTCTAAGGCTGAGAGCTGCTCTCCAAGACTTAGCATGGGAGGGAATATTGGCATAGATGAACACAGCACAGAAATGGGAGTTTTTCAAAAAAACTGTATGTGAACACACTGCAAAATATATTTCCATGGGCAACAAGTTTAAAGGGCTAAAGCTGAAACCTATGTGGCTTACTGCCAAGGTAAAAAACACTATAAATAATAAGAAAAAAGCTTTTATAAAATATAAAAATGAAGGAACACTATCATCGTTTAAACATTACAAAGAATATAGCAGAATATGTAAAAAGGAAATCAAGGCAGCAAAAATTAAAAATGAATGACAGATTGCAAAAGATAGCAGGACAAACCCCCCAAAATTCTTCATATATATTAATAGTAAAAAGGTCAGGTCTCAGCATGTAGGCCCTTTACAAAATAATCTAGAGTGGGTGACTGGAGACAAAGAGAAGGCAAATTTATTAAAGTCTACTATGCAAGTCATTAAAGAGTCTCCATTATGGTCAAGAGCTCCCCCATGCTCCTTTGTATACACAGAGCTGAAGAAGGTACTTCAGCTCTGTGTATACAAAGGAGCATGGGGGAGCTCTTGACCATAATGGAGACTCTTTAATGACTTGCATAGTACCACTGGATTGGTGTAAGCCCAATGTTGTACCTATATTTAAAAAGGGATCAAAAGCTTTACCAAGTAATTATAGACCTGTTAGTTTAATTTCTATAGTTGGGAAGATACTGGAGAGTTTAATAAAAGACCATATAGATGAGTTCTTGCTGGAAAAAAATATTTTAAGCAACAGACAGCATGGATGTATGAAAGACAGAAGTTGTCAAACAAATCTGATTTCTTTTTATGAGGAAGTGAGCAAAACCTTGGACAGAGGGGTGTCTGTAGACGTGGTAGATTTGGATTTCTTACAAAAAGTGTTTGACACAGTTCCCCACACATGGCTAATGTGTAAGGTAAAGTCTACAGGCTTAGAAAAATCCGTAGGTAAATGGATAGGTAACTGGCAAAAAGACCGAATTCAGAGAGTAGTGGTTAATGATTCATACTCTGAATGGTCTAGGGTTGTTAATGGTGTACCCCAGGGTTCAGTGTTGGGACCCTTACTTTTTAATATATTTATAAATGATATAGGGTTTGGGATTAAAAATACCGTTTCAGTCTTTGCAGATGACACCAAGCTGTGCCGTGGAATAATGTGGATGTCTTCAATTTACAAGCCGACCTCCATGCACTGTTTAATTGGGCAACTATGTGGCAAATGAGGTTTAATGTTGATAAATGTAAAGTTATGCACTTGGGGGCTATGAATATGCATGCATCATACATACTAGGGGGGTACAAATGGGGGAATCAATGGTGAAGGATCTGGGAGTTCTGGAAGATCATAAGCTTAATAATGGCATGCAATGCCAAGCTGCAGTTTCTAAAGCGAGCAAAATCCTCTCTTGTATTAAAAGAGTTATAGACTTCAGAGAGAGAGAGATATCATTTTACCCCTGTACAAATCATTAGTAATACCTCATCTGGAATATGCAGCTCAGTTTTGGGCACCAATTCACAAAAGGAATATTGGGGAACTGGATAAAGTGCAGAGAAGGGCAACCAAACTAATAAGAGGCATGGAGGAGCTCAGCTATGAGGAAAGATTAGAGGAACTGAATTTATTCTCTCTTGAGAAGAGGAGATTAATGGGGGATATGATCAACATGTATAAATACATCAGTGGTTCATATATTGAATTTTGTGTAGAGTTATTCACCCTGAGGTCATAACAAAGGACAAGGGGGCACTCTTTACGTCTGGAGGAAAACAGATGTAATCTCCAAATACAGAAAGTTTTCTTCACCGTAAGAGCTGTGAAATGTGGAATAGACTCCCTCAAGAGTTGGTTCTGGCCAGTTCA